CTACAAGATAACTTGCTGAATTAAACAGAATGGAAAGAAGAAAGAAATCTGAGTCCTCAAAGAAATGGATGGAGCTAAAAATCATGTCCTAATCTGTCTCCAATCTTCCAGTTATGGGAGTTAATACACTGTTCATTGTTTAAATCATTTGAGTTGGGTTTTCTCTTATTGTTTCCCAAAGCATAGTATCTGATAAAACCATATTGCATTTTAGCAGCTTTTTGATGAGGTAAGAACATATACTGAAAATGTTAAATAAACAAACCATTAGCTTAAGAACTAAAATATGAGGAAAAGCATAATTTATTGATAAATTCTAGCTCTTGGGATATATGATTCCAAAAAGAGGAAAAATACTTTATGAAAAAAATTGCATGAAGTTTTTATTGCTATGTCTTGGAATAGAGCTACTTATGATCCAGGCAACTGTAGATGAATTGGGTAGAAAATGGATATTAAGAGAAACAAAACCAACTGCAGATACTGAGAGGACATCTATAATCATACATTTCCCTTGCCTGATGAGCCACTGGGCTTAGAGAGTTGGGTAAGGTCTGAGCTTGCAAAGACATCAAGTGGCTCAGCTAAGGGAGCAGAGAGCAGGGCAGGGCAGGGCATGATAGAAGCAGCTCCAGTTTCTGTATAGAAGGGGCTTAAGGGATATAGGCCAATTGGGGCTTGTAGTAACATTTGCAAATAACTTTTCTTATCTGTCATCTATCAAAGAGTAGGGATCGGACAGTAGCCACAGAGTTAATTACCTCCTTTTGTGCAATGACTACGGCCACGCTAGTTCTGTGTTGGGTTGAGAAAACCCACAGTCATTAAAAGCAAGTTAACTTCAACATCTATAGCTACTTTATTTTATGATGAAGTTATCAGTTCAAGTCAAAAGTGTATAAAGAATTTCTGAAGAGTTTCTAAGGCAGAAAATTCCAATTCAGGTTGGTTTGAAATCACAGATAGTCTTTCAGTTTTCAGTCTCGTCAGAGGTGATGCTTCATAATTTGAACTTTTGATGCTGAAAATTAAACTGAAAATGAGATTCTTCTATAGTTCAACCATTCTGCTTTATTGGTATCATTATTATTATTACTAGGTTACCTAGTCCAAGGTGGAGAAGAGAGACCCAGTCTTTGCCTTTCAGATATACAATGACAATCTCAGGAAATACCTTTTTCAAATAGCCTGTGCATGGTGGAGGATGGGATCTTCTATTGATTTAAGACATAGTCTTTTCCGCATTCAGGCACAGGGTCTTTTTTGCTGAATTTCTACATTTTAAAATTCTTTCAGTGGAAAGAGAATCAACATGGCTATTATAGAGGGGAGAAGCGCATGGAATTCACAGAGCAAATTGTCTGATTTTATTTTAACCCTTGTACACAGGAAGTATTGGGAGTTTATTGGAGGACCTGCCTTTCTTGCTAACATGTTAGCATAATATTCCTCTTTGGTCAATTCATTTACATATTTACAAAGGTCTCTGGAAAAATAATGTATAAAACTAGTTGCTTGTAACTCATTTTACCCTGCCATGAGATGAATCAAGTATTTAAAAAATGTATCCTTAACTCATCTAAAAACTATAGAATACAAAACAGACCCACACTAAATATTTTCTATTTTAAAGTTAATACTATTGACTATTACCTTCCTTTGTGTTGTCAGATTCTCTCTCTCTTTTTCTCTTTCTCTCTGTCTCTGGGGTCTCTCTCTCTCTCTCTCTCTCTCTCTCTCTCTCTCTGTGTGTGTGTGTGTGTGTGTGTTGTATAGTGGTGTAACCTTTGGGATAAAGCTTTTTCTACTTCCTTGAGTATACTTTTTAACTTGAGAAAAAATACTACCAGCTTACAAAAAATTCGGAACTGCATCTAACTAACCACAGAAAATTGTATAAAAGAGCTTAGCCCTAAAGTATTTGTGAGTCATATTAAAGTAGATGCCAGGCAGGGCCCTGGCTCATTGTTCAGTACCTGTTCACATCATATTGCTGTAGTCAGTGGGATAGTGGGTTTACTCATAAATGACACATATTGATAATGTTGAATGTTTTTGCCACTTGCTTTCAAACTTCCAGATTATTTAATAAAAATTTTCTTGAAATTATTCTCTGGTTTTGTTTAGCTATTAAGCAAAGGGTCCCATAGCTTAGTAAAGGTCTGAGAGTGGGCACCTGGCCCAGATCTGGCTGATTGGACATAAGAGAACTCTGTTGGAAGCTTCTAGAGAGATGTTTTCTAATTGCCAATGTGAGACACTTGTGGCTTGACCAATATCTGTGAGTAGAAATGGGAACTGTTTATTATTATCATGTGATAGACTTAAAAATATTGAAGCAGGGGTGCATCCCACTGGCTATGTTCTTTTCCAGCCTTAGAGAAGTACCAAGTTTGCATGACTCCTTGCATACATCAAGATGATGGCAATTGGGATGAGCAAATGGAGAAATCAGGACCAGTGATTTTGGAAAGAGGTTGAGGGAGGGAAATTCAGAAGATGATGATCTTAAAGAGAGCTTATGGGAAAAAGAAGAGAGATTTGGGCCACTGTGAGTGGGATTTTGAGAAGAAACATGGGAAAATATAATCTTTAGTGTGTGTGTGTGTGTGTGTGTGTGTGTGTGTGTGTGTGTGAATTTATATTTCCACTTTCTGAAGTCTTCAGAAAGCCTCTGATCAAAATTGCCTTTTGCCACTGTCAACAGGAGGAGATGACCCAGTTTTATAAATGAAGAGTGTTTATTCCACTTTATACGAAATGTTTTTGCCACTTGCCTTTCAAGCTTCCAGATTAGTTATTAAAAAGTTTCTTTAAATTATTATCTGGTCTTGTTTAGCTATTAGGTAAAGCATCCTGTAGCTTAGTGAAGGTCTGAGAATGGGCACCTGGCCCAGATCTGGCTGATTGGATGTAAGAGAACTCTGTTGGAGGCTTCTGGAAGAGATGTTTTCTAACAATAAAAAGAGGATTGTCTACAAAGAGGTGGTTTCCTGCTGTCTTGGATGCCTCTTTACTCCTGCTTTCTGTGGTGTTGTGATGAACATGACTGTATTAGTCCATTCTCATATTGCTATAAAGAACTGCCAAAACTGGGTAATTTATAAAGCAAAGAGGTTCAATTGACTCACAGTTAGGCATGGCTGGGGAGGCTGCAGGAAACTTACAGTCATGGAAGAAGGGGAAGGGAAAGCGATGCACTCTTTACAAGGTGGCGGGAAGGAAAAGTGCCAACTGAAGAGGGGAGAGCCCCTTATAAAACCATCAGATCTCATGAGAACTCACTCACTGTCAGAAGAACAGCATGGGAGAAACCACCTCAGTTACCTCCACCTGGTCCCACCCTTGACACATAGGGGTTAAGAAGATTACAATTCAAGATGAGATTTGGATGGGGACACAGAATCTAACCATATCAATGACCATGAAGTGGCCCTCCAGGGCTGGAAGGACAGCCTGCTGATGGTGGAATGGAAGGGTGGAAAGCCTTGTTTTTTTAATGGCATTGTTGAGCTATTGAACTAGCTCCAGACTGTCTACTTTGGAGAACTGGTTCAAGTCTTCTAAGTGCTATTTCTAATTGGTACACTTATCTGTATTTCTCTGCTTTTGTAATCAATAATTGTTGGGAGAAGGTCTTGACATGCATGTGATGGAGTATATATTGTTTGCTGAGAGGCAATGGGAAGGACCACCGAGCCATCCCCAGGCAGGAAACTGCTAGAATAAGTAAGCAGCAGGTACTGGTCATGCACTAGTTAAATCAGTTCTCCAAACACAGGGTATTTGACCTTGTCCGCATTGCTGACCCGCAGAGTGCTTTTCAGCTTCTTTCTATCTTAGTAGTGAACAGACATTGTCTGTCTATTTAGTCTATCTTTATTCTATGAAGAAACACTGAGCACCTGTTTATTAAAAATAATCACTTGTTCACAAAGTATAAATAAATGGGTCAGAGTCTGCTCTGGGCTGTCACTGGGAAATGCTGTCAGACTCCTGACGGTCCTACTCTGATCCCACTTTTGCACACTATCTTTGTTTCTGTTTCTTAATTCCTTCAGTGCCGCCTGAGCTGGGGTCTCTATGATTGAGCTGGTCTTGGCAAATAATAAATACCCTTATGGTTAAGCCACTGACATTTAACTCCGACATGTAGCCAAAGGCATTAGTAACTGGCACACAGCACATTTGAAACTTTTGCCATTTGTAACCACTTCATAAGGTGCGATCAAACAAAACAGAAATAATAAAATTAGAGCTTATAGGGAACTACAACTGTCATCCATAACATTTAATTTTCAATGTCCGTGTTCATCAGAATCATCTGGCTCCATTGATTGATTTTATAATAGGCAAATGTTGCAAAAGAACTCAAATTATAAATTTTAATTAGTAAATTTTTTCAATTTACCTGTTTTGCATTTTGGTTCCAATTAAGATTTCATTTGAAAAAAGCTAAAATAATTGAAAAGCACAGTAAAAGCCAAAGGGAAGCAGGGTAGGTGAATTCGTGTTTGTATATATGTGCATGTACTAATCATTGCATTCATCTGATCATTTAAATTCATCAAACCCCTCCTATTGACTGTTCTGTGGGCTAGAGATCAAGGCTTAATGGAACACAGACTCTGACATCCATGTCAGGGACTCCATTTCGGTAAATGGCAACCACAATTCAATAAGATGTTCAGGCTGAAAGCCACGTTGCCATTCTTGAATAGTATGTTTCTCACACATCCTATTTGTAGTCCGTCAGCAAATCATATTGGGTCTTCCTTTACAGCACTACCTGACACTAACTCCTTTTCATGTTCTTCATTACCTCCACCCTAATTCCAGCCAACATCATCATTCACACGTATCCTTCTCTATGGTTTCTTTCCCATATGGTAGCCAGAATGGTTTAAAAAAACAAACAAACAAAAAGACTTAAAGGAGGTCATGACATTCCATTCTTTTTAGCTCTTCCATGGCTGTATATTACTTTTTTTTTTTTTTTGCTTTTTAAATGGTTTTATTTTATATGCAAATAATGAACAGGTGTTGTATCTATAACTTCCACTTTCCCAAAACAAGAGCTTTATAAAAGAAAACCATATAATGACTTTTAAAAGGCACTGGGATTCCTCTGCTTTTAGATCACTGCTAGGCTAGAAAAATAAAGTTTGTTCTACCAGGAATCACAAGTTAGAACTGAGTATTCTCCAAAGTGGAAATTCTAGGGTGTAGTGTCATTCCAGGCAAAGATTATTCAGATCTCATCCCCAACATTCCCAACTACCTATCAGAAGGGTTAAACCAGGTCAAAACAGTCCAGCATAATTAGGCTTCATCAAATAATGTCATTATGCTTTTCTATGATGCAAATAAACGAAAGCAGGAAATACTAAAATCAAAATAATGTTTGACACTGTCTTAGAAATTGTTAGTTCCTTATTGTATCCCTCCTTCTATAACATTAATGAAGAGAATATTTTACTGGAAAGAATATTTTATTTTACATATCACTAGCCATGATTTTTTGCCATGAGTTATTATACAAATGCTGCCTAGTGCCATTATCCAAATGGCATAACCATTTTATGTCCACAATTCACTTCTATAGTTATAAGTAGAATTTTCGTGATTTACATGGCTACATCTATCAGTGAAGATTTAACACTGAGATGCAGTCTAACATCCATAATATCTAATGTAGATGGCAATGTAGGAAAGATATATTTTAATCACTTTTCATTTAAGTGACTTTATGTAAAAAATAAACTAATAATTTAGAAGTTCCAAGTCTCCAAAGGGCATTTTCCAATGTACATAAAAGAAATGGTTACAGAGATTTTTTAAGAAGGATCTTCCATGTCCACATCCTCTTGTAACTGCTGTACCACTTTCTCTTCCAACTGCTTCCCTTTGCGCGCAAGTGGGGCTTGGACAAGATGGATGTTTTGCTTGACTTCTTTGATATCCTGAACTTTCCGTAGCTCTTTATTTTTCTTCAGTCTGTTCCTTATAAAGTTACCTAGGTGTTTCTGTTTGATCTCTTCCACTCTCTTCAATGCATTGATAGTTTTATTCCATAGCTCTCGCAGGTATTTGATAGGTCCATTTCTACGTTTTTCAACTTCAAATGAATTATCCACTGTAAGCTCTTTCCCAGTTGCTTTCTGGAAGGCTTTAGTCCACCTAGCTTTGTGAGGATTGCACTCCTATTTCAAATTTTTATGACATTTAGATTGACAAAATCTGAACACTTTGCAATTGTTGTGGATGAACATCATTCCATGGCCAGGATAGATGGGCTCCAAACAGAAATAACATTTCTCGATATGTATGTTAAACCTGCGTGGCTCCCCACCGACCAAACACCAAGCTTGAGAGAAGCTGTATATTACCATTAAAAAAAAATCCAAGTAATTTTTCCTCACATATAAGATTTCTTTATGATCCCAGAATAATTTTCTACCCTGCTATTTCTCATTCAATTCAGTCCAAGCATTCTAGCCTCCTTGATGTTTGCTGCACACCCCAACTATGTTTCCTCCTGGGTAACTTTGCCCTTGCTGATCACATAATTCATGTCTGTTCAAAGTTACCCCAAGGTTTCCCATGACCATTTTATATTCTTCTCTATCACCTTACACTGTATTGTATATCTAATAGGTTGTAATCTACCTCTTTCACTTGAACATCAACTCCATGAGTCCAAGGACTTTGCTGTTTTGATGAATCTGAATGGGTGGATGGATGGATGGATGAGCTCTGGGTGAGTCACTCCATTCTTTTAAGTCCTGATTCTTCCCTGACTAGCGATGTCTTCTGGACCAGTTTTTCCCTTTGTACCTCTGTGTCTGCATCTGTGAAATGAAGGGAAATTTCAAGCCTTGGCATGGGGAGATTTTAAAGGAGAGGCCTGTTGGTTGCCTTCCTTTCACACTGCTTGGGTGGCTTCCTACTTCATGCATCAGGCCGGCCTGTTGCCAGGCAGGATGGGAAGCTGACCTATGTGTAGGCGCTGACTAATGTAGGCATCTCTCACCTTAACCCTGTGGTGAAAAGCCAACCCAGGCAGCCTGGCGCAAACAAACACGTGGAGTCAGCAAAGACCTCTTCCGGGCTTGCATCTTTTTGTCGCCCTTCCTATTCCTGTTGACCCACTTCCTACCAGGAACATAACGCAATCCCGATACTGTATGCTTTCATCCTAAGAGGATGGATTACAAAATTCCCCTGATTCTTTTATATTCTTCTCTATCACCTCATCCACAACTATTCAGGAAATATTTATTCCTCTTTCAGGCATCTTTGCACTGATTTCACAAAGAGCTGTCTATTTTCACTCTAAAACCATGCACACCTTTTGTCCAGGTCCAGCTCTTTCACAGCTGTGTGAGCGCGGGCAGGTGTCTCTACCTTTCTGAGCCTCAGTTCTTTCCTCTGTAAGATGTGAACACTAAGACTCACCTCATGTCATTGCAATGACAGTTAAATGAAGTGACAAGTCGAAGGTATCTGAAACAATGCATACAGCAGCCCCACAATAAGAAAAGACTGCAGAGAGAAGACAGTGGATAACTCAGTGAGATTTTGGTTCACCTTGACTTTCTAGAATCCTTTAAATTTCCTCTGTATGCCATTTCTGTTCAAATAAATAGCCAATCTTGCTTATAAGCATGGAATTGGGAAGTGCTGGAACAGAGGCTGAGATAAATCAAAAACAACAGTTAAAAAGATTAATGCATTCACAATCCTGGACTCATCTTAGCAGAGCCTGTAGTCTGCAAACTGTTGGTCATCAGAAAAACTGCTGGGCCCGCAGCCTGGCTTCTTTCTCCCACTGCCCGTCATGCTTTCCCTCCAAGAGTGGAGCAAACCTGCTGGAGAGTGGGGGCTGGCCTGGACTACATGTCCCGAATCTGTAATCCTACCCTGACTCTGGAGGAGGGGACTCTCCTTTTTCCATTCCCACACGGCAGGGATGAGGATGGAGGTGGGAGACCGGCTTGCTCATTCATGGTAATGTACACCAGGCCTGTGAGAAATGAAACAGAATCAGCACACATGGCTTGTCCTTCATGGAGCTCACTCTTCCTGACCTTTCACGGCTTGAGCTCCTTTGTGCCAGTGTGAGGTGGGGTGGCTAGGGGCTTCTGCCAGGAAACCGGTGGAGTCTTGCCAACACCTCTGCTTGATGCTGGAGTTTGTCAGCAGAGGAAAACTTGTGTCGAAAGGCCAGGAATCTGCAGCTGCCTGCATGCGGGTGAACAAAGAAGCAGTTTTATTTACCTGGAGACCTACTTTTAGAGCCCATGGCAACCACAGTTTTGGGGGCAGGGTTACTCTGAGATGTCCAGTCAGACTGAGGGCTGGGAAACCCCTGGATCTCCCAGAAAAGGAGGCTGACTTCTGGGCCAGGATGAGGGATTCCAGCCAAGGGGAGAAAGGAGAGAAGTCAGAAAAGAGGCTGAGGCATCAAACTGATTTCCCCCTCAGGCTTTTGCCTGCAGTGCTCACCCCCTTCACGGTGCGGCTTCCTCCTTCCTCTAGTCCTGCCCTCAGTGCACCTTACCCCTGAGGCTTGGCTGGAGCCCTCCTTCCTAACACCCAGCGCCCTCCACTTGCTATCTCTACAGTGGCTCCAAGTGTTTCCTGGGTATGTTCAACACGCCTATGGAATTCTAAGTCAACATGTGGCAAATAAAGGATAACTCTGATCCGATGTATTTCCCAGTTCATCAAGGTATCTGTTTTGTAATCAATTTCCAGAATACAACAAAGCCGTCTGAATTCAAAATAGACTGTAATAACTAAACCATTCATTGGCTAAAGCTTTCATTTGGCAAAAAGAATAATATAACGATGAGGCCTGGGAAGGTCCTCCTCTTGATGAGGGTCCTCCTCTCCTTGTGAACGAATGCTCTGCTTATCTTCAGGTACAGAATTCTTCCTCGAGGCACATCTGTTGTGGTTAAATGCAGGCTGCTTTTGTAAAGTCATTACATATTTAGAGCAAAAGGAGTCACAATCATCATTTCACTTGAAGCCTCCCTCAAGCAAATGATGAACCCCATTATTAGCGGGACAAGATTAACTTATTTTTACAAGAAACATATGGTAAGCTTAGGCGGAGGGAAAACTTCTTGCTTTAACCACGCATGTGTGTTTATAATGAAATAATTTTAAAAATAAATGCTGTAGAAATGTTAATTGCTGGGTCTGTACGTTTTACCAGGCCTGGACAGTTTCTAAGCACAGTAATCAGATTAATCACAGCAGGATTGTTCCAGTTTGGTAGAGGAGAGCAGGCAAACTGACCACACACCTGGCTCTTCCGTGGATCATTATTGTTTTTTTTTTTGTTTGTTTGTTTTTTATTTTTTAGAGGTGGAGTCTTACTCTGTCATCTAGGCTGGAGTGCAGTGGTACCGTCTCGGCTCCCTGCAACCTCCACCTTCCAGGTTCAAGTGATTCCCCTGCCTCAGCTTCTAGGCTGGTCTCAAACTCCTGACCTCAAGTGATCCACTTGCTTTGACCTCCCAAAGTGCTGAGATTACAGGTGTGAGCCACTGCCCCTGGCCCCGTGGATCATTATTGGTCACCTACCATGCCAGACATTTTCTAGGAGTTGGGAATTTAGCAGGGACACCTGCCTGGCTTTGTGGAACTTTCCAGTGGGGCAGACAGATAATAACAAAATAAATAAAGTATACAGTATATTAGAAGGTGACATGTGCCTTCTAAAAATGGCAGAAGTGGGGGTGGGGGATGCACTTTAAAATGGGCCCATCACGGTGGCACTTAGGTGACATTCAAGCAAAGATTAAGAGGTCAGGAGATAGCTGGGGGAGGGGCAAAGGCCAGTGTGCGGGTCCAGATGTGTTTGAAGAAGAGCAAGGAGACCAGTGTGTCTGGATGGCAGTGAGCCAAGGGCCAAGGTGGGAGGGTTGGGTAGGAAATGAGCCAGGGAGGGAAGGGGTGCTGAGCACCTGGGGTCTGCACCCAGTGGAATAATCTTTGTGCTTTATTCCAAGTGAAATGTGAAGCCAACCCAAGGTTTCACAGAGGAGCTACATGATCTGACTCACAGTTTTAAAAGATTCCCAGAATGAATCATTTGACAGCCTGCATTAGTTTGGCCAAAACACCCAAGTCAAACAAAAGGGCTTGCAGGCAAGGTCACCCCTAGGTGTGGTGGGGAGTCAGATGCAGATCCCTGTACATGACGCTAACACCCACCACCCCTTAAAGCCTCTGTGTTTTACTCTCAGTAATGCCAACAGTTAAAGTCAAGGGTAAAGGGGTTATAAGCTCTGGAACTATTTCTGCTCCAAGAGGCCCAGATTCCTCAACTTCCTTTTTTAAACTTCCCTGATTGAAGGAAGAAGGTGGAACTGGGGTGTGGGACAGGGGAGCTCAAGCTAGAATATTCACGTCCTGCCAGGATGCTCCTGGTCACAGCAGATCTCGCCCTAGAGGATCTTATGCTAGGATTGCCTGAGTCACTCTTCTCTTCTAAACATTTGGTATTGATGCAATTACTTATTTCATGGCCTGTGAGCAGGGATTTTTATAGAACTTGAGACACTGTGTCTAACATAGGATGTTTAAATTATTTTAAAGTTAGAGGAACAGCCAGGGAAGTGTGGTATAGATGCAGAATGGACTCTCTGGGGTTTTTGATTTGTCACGAAGACAATAAGGCAACAATTCTTGGACCAGACATTTGCAACAAGTGGGTTGGAACAGGATAAGGTTGGATGTCATCAGTGAAGCAGAAGTATCCAAAGGCTTAGGGAGAACAGATTTATCGTAGGAGACCAGCTCACCCACTCCCTAACTGTGTCCCCACAGAGGGTCTAGAGGCCACTCCCTTTCCCAAGGCCACTGAGACACACTTGTGATTGGAAGCCCAGCATCCTTGACTAGCTCTGTGGTGGGCCAGAAGTGACATTGGGCATGGCTGCCATTGGACAGGACTCTGACTTTAGTGATCATGATGGGAGGAGCTGGCAGGGACCAAGAGGTACTCTTTGTTTTGGTGTGTGTGTGTGTGTGTGTGTGTGTGTGTGTGTGTGTGTATTTAATTTTGTTCTTTTGAGACCGAGTCTCGCTCTGGTACCCACACTGGAGTGCAGTGGCACAATCTCAGTTCACTGCAACCTCCACCTCTCAGGTTCAAGCTATTTTCCTGCCTCAGCCTCCTGAGGAGCTGGGATTACAGGCGCGCGCCACTGCTTCCGGCTCAGGAGGTGCCCTTTAATTGCCAAGGACAAGATAAGTGTGGCTACTGTAAAGGTCATCAGAGCTGAAGTGGTCATCAGAAGGGTACTGGGGAGAGCAAAAACCACTGGTGGCCATCAAGCAGGCTATCTGGAGCCAAAAGACTTTTTATTTGAGGAATTTAGAAATAATTAGACTTCTCTATTATCTAAAGTCAGTACCTGGTTGCAGACCTCTTTTCAACTTAAAATTTATATGTAACTAGAATTTCCATACATTTCCAGAATGCATGTGTGCTGAAACTCATTGTGCAACTCTTTCCGACATTAAGGCACCGAAATGTCTACAAATGAAATCATTTATTATGCAAACTACCCTCTAGCTCCCACTTTAAGGTCCATAAATACCCTTAAGGAAAAATTGATGGGGACTCGCTCAGTCCTATCTCACTGAGGAGCCCCACTGCACTTTTCTGCAGCATTCTTTCTTTTTTTTTTTTTTTTTTCTTTTCTTTTTTTTTTTTTTTGAGACAGAGTCTTGCTCTGTCACCAGGCTGGAGTGCAGTGGCACAATCTCGGCTCACTGCAACCTCCACCTCCTGGGTTCAAGCGATTCTTCCGCCTCAGCCTCCCAAGTACCTGGGACCACAGGCATGTGCCACCAGGCCTGGCTAATTTTTTTGTATTTTTAGTAGAGACGGGGTTTCACCATGTTGGCCAGGATGGTCTTGATCTCTTGACCTCATGATCTGCCTGCCTCCGCCTCCCAAAGTGCTGGGATTACAGGAGTGAGCCAGCATTGTTTCTTTTTAATAAAACTTTCCTTCTTCAAACATATACTTCATCAGTAAATTCTTATCAACCCATGAGATGACCACTTTCCAATGCTGGGGCTCTGACACCTTGCGCAGCAAGTATGGCCCACAGAAATCACTGTCTTGGTTGTTCATCATGATGTTCCTTGAGCAGCAATAGATGGGCGGACGAAAGCAACCTCACCTGTTTTGCATAGATGGAAAAGCTTTAGGTCTGGCACATGGAATCACCACAATAGTAGGCCCTAGCCTCTCACCCAATTTGTAGATTTGAGCCACTTCGCAGCCTCAGCACCTCTGGAAAAGAGAGGAGGACCAGTCTCCTTAAATCCTGAGGCATAGCCGATATCCTTCCAACCTTCCCCCAGGGACCTGTGGCTGTTTATTAGGGTGACTGTGCATAAGGGAAGGGGATATAACCAGACTTTGGGGAACTAATGGACAATGGAGACCCCAAACTCTGCTACTGTCACTACTGTCTGCCAATTAAGTGACCAGTGGAGATTGGCTCTGGTTCATCTCTTGGTGGACCCGGAATGTTCTGCAAATGTATTCTGTGGTTATTTCTCCAGTTTCAGAAGTCAGTGTTGGAAAAGACATGCCGTCAGTGTGGGCAGAGGTCCCACACTGGTTAGAACCCTTTAGCCTATCGTCTTTCAGGTTCCCAAGTACTAAGTGCCCAGTGCTCAGGGTACTTCCCATACACAGGTGGTGATGTATGAGGGGCTGTGTGTGAAGAGGCCAACCCACTCTGGCTGGCTGGCTGCTTGCCCATGGCTGCAGCACCAATTCTGATGCTCCACAACTGAGGCTGAGGCAGGGACTCTGTTGTAGACCAGAACAGGCAGCAAAGGGTGAGGAAGAGAAACCCAGTCTCATTTCTGCCATCACGTACACGTGGCTTACTGGGCACATCCCTTTGTCTTTCTGAGCCTTGGTTTGCTCATCTCTAAGAAGAGAAGTCAGGTTTCAAGTCACTGATTCTTTGGCTGCATATTGGAGTCACTCAGGAAACTTAAAAAGGATGAATACTTAAGCCCTATGTTAGAGATTTTGATTTAATTGGTCTGGGGTAGGGGCCAAGCGCTGATGATTTTATGCCTCCTCTGGTGATTGAAGTGTGCATTCAGAGGTGAGCCCTGCTGGCTGAAGTCTTCCCTGAGGTCTCTTCCAGCTTTGACAGGAGGAGTCTATAAGATATTCTTTCACTGAGAGAGAGAAA